TTCCTTCCTTCCTTCCTTCCTTCCTTCCTTCCTTCCCTCCCTCCCTCCTTCCTTCCTTCCTTCCTTCCTTCAAGGATTATCACTGTTAGGAAAAAAAAACAAAATGAGATTTCTCCCAACAACCAGTTCTCCCAACTGCTTAGAAAGTTACCAACCGGTTCTCTCGGGTAGGTGCGAACCGGCTGAATCCTACCATGGTTAGAAAGGAGGGGGAAAGGCCGGGTCAGAAAAACACAGACAAGTTAAGAATTGGAGAACATGGTATTAAGAAGGTGCGATAGGTAGGAATCGGATACGTATTTGCATGGTTAGTAATTATATAAAAGAAAGCATCAACGGACAGGTAATCTGATTGACCACACACCCCTATGTAATGGATATAAAATGTCACTGTTGTAAAATCCATTCACTACGTTTATGCCAGAAATGTCTCACTAGGTTCAATGTTTGAATGTTTATCTAATTAAAAAAACTTTTTTATATAAAAAAAGGGAATGAGAGGTACTCAGAGTTTCCGTCCAGTGGGGCTTTAGGGTCTCAGGAACCCTTGAAGCCAACTCTACAAGGGCGGGCGTGGCCATCAGAGACACGGGGAGGAAGTCAACCAAGGGGAGGAAGAGTGGGGATGCCTTTGGGGTCTTGATAAGAGAAGGCCTTCAGCCTGGCCAAGTTGTGGTCTCGCAACCCAACCTGCAAGCAGTGGGGGTCAGGAAAACAACCTTGTGCAATTCAGAGAAGGGGGGTAAATTTTCACCGAGCGGCCGTTGCGAAAACCCACAATTCCTTTGCAATCCAAGGAAGAGAGAACGAAAGGAGGGGAAACCCCCAACGCAAAACAAGTTAAAAAAAGTAAATTATTCAACTGTAATAATAATAAAAGTCCCCCAGGTTAAGGCAACTTGCCTAGAAAAATGGAAGAGCTGGGTTTTATTTTGGATGTGCTTGGACCAATTGTCAGGAGATGGTGAGTTCTAGTCTGATCTCTCTCTCTCTCCCTCTCCCTCTCTTTCTCCCTCTCCCTCTCTCCCTCTCCCTCCCTCTCTCCCTCTCTCCCTCTCTCTCCCTCTCTCCTTCTCTCTCCCCCTCTTTCTCTCTCTTTCTCCCTCTCTTTCTCTCCCTCTCTCCCTCTCTCTCCCTCTCTCCTTCTCTCTCCCCCTCTTTCTCTCTCTTTCTCCCTCTCTTTCTCTCCCTCTCTCCCTCTCTCTCTCCCTCCCCCCCTTCTCTTTCTCTCTCTCTCTTTCTCTCCCTCTCCCTCTCTCTCATTCTCTCCCTCTCTTTCTCTCTCTCACCCCTCTCTTTCTCTCTTTCTTTCTGTCTCCCTCTCTCTCTTTCTCTCTCTCTCCCGCTCCCCCCCTCTTTCTCTCTCTCCCTCTTTCTCTCTCCCTCCCTCTCTCTCTCCCTCTTTCTCTCTCTCTCCCCCCTCTCTTTCTCTCTTTCTCTCTCTCTCTCTTTCTCTCTCTCTCTCTGGCTTCTCGAGTGGGCTTTGCTTGTCGGAAGGAGATCACATGGCCCCGGGACATTGCGACCGTCATAAAGCTGAATCAGAATCCCCATGTTGCTCACGTAACTCTGGGAAGGCTGCAATGGTCGTAAGTGTGCAAAAAATAGTTCTTTTTTTCAGCCCCGTTATAACTTTGAAAGGTCACTAAACTAGCCGTCTTTAAGTCGGGGACTATCTGCCCAGGGAGTCCTCGGTTTACAATCCCAATTCAGCCTGTAATTATGGTCGTAGGTCATGACGGTTGCTAAGTGGATCACTTAACAAAGTTTTAAGAAAACGTGTGAATCCGGTTATTTGGAATGGAGCCGGGGGGGGGGGGGGGGACGACCGAAGACTCTTTTTAACCCAGTTTTTCTTTTGTTTCTACCTCATTTGTTATTCTGCCCTTCCTTTTACTTCTTGTCCTTTTTGTTTTTTTGGGTATCTTGTTTTTCGTGTTTTGAATATTTTGAAAACCACCCGGAGGCGCTGGGAGTCGGGTGGCATCGGCATTTAAATAACAACAACAAGAAAAAGTCACATAATGGGTCCTCCTTCTTGTCAAGCTTATCATTGGGTAGCAGCTCTTTGAAAGTTTAGCCTCTTCTCTAAAGGAAAAAGTAAGTTTCCAGTCCTTATTAAGTCAGTTTCCAGCCTTTATTAAGTTAGTTTCTAGTCCTTATTAAGTAAATTTCCAGCCTTTATTAAGTTAGTTTCTAGTCCTTATTAAGTAAGTTTCCAGTCCTTATTAAGTAAATTTCTAGTCCTCATTAAGTTAGTTTCTAGTCCTTATTAAGTTAGTTTCTAGTCCTTATTAAGTAAGTTTCTAGTCCTTATAAGGGACACGGTGGCTCAGTGGCTAAGATGCCAAGCTTGACGATCAGAAAGATCGGCAGTTCGGCGGTTCGAATCCCTAGAAAAAAAGGCAGGAGGTAGGAGAACTGATAACTTTTTGGGGGGGGGAGTTATGGACAATATAGTGGGACGTGGTGGCTCAATGGCTAAGACGCTGAGCTTGTCGATCAGAAAGGTCAACAGTTCAGTGGTTCGAATCCCTAGCGCCGCATAACGGAGTGAGCTCCCGTGACTTGTCCCAGCTTCTGCCAACCTAGCAGTTCGAAAGCAGGTAAAAAAATGGAAGTAGAAAAATAGGGACCACCTTTGGTGGGAAGGTAACAGCGTTCCATGCGCCTTTGGTGTTGAGTCATGCCGTTCCACATGACCACGGAGACGTCTTCAGACAGTTCTGGCTCTTCGGCTTTGAAACGGAGATGAGCACTGCCCCCTAGAGTCAGGAACGATTAGCACATGTGTGCGAGAGGAATCTTTACCTTACCTATAAAGTGAAGATTCCTGGCTAATCAGAATCGCTGAGAGTTGGGTGGCATATACATTTAATCTATTATTAGGGTTGGTTTGCCCAGTCAGCCAGATATTTTGACTGGATCTGGCATTCTTGTCTACCTCTCCAGCCCTTCCCAAGGCTGTGAGATAAGCAGATGTTGTTTAATAATATGAATTGCCGCAGGGTTGTGATGATTATGACTCATCAGCCAGCTCGCCGTTAAACAAAAGCCTCTTTCGGAAAAATAAAAATAAAGAAAAGGTAAACAGACACATATTGGCACAGAGGTTTTAA